GAGTGAGAGGAGAGAGGACCGAGATTGACCGACGGACGATCAGACCAGAGAGAGAGACTGTGAGAGACGAGAGAGAGCCAGAGAGAGAGAGAGAGAAGAGAGAGAGAGAGAGAGGAGAGAGAGAGCAGCAGAGAGACGAGAGAGATGAGAGACTCCATCTTTCCGAGAGAGAGAACCCGAGAGCGAGAGCGAGAGCGAGAGAGAGAGCGAGAGCGAGAGCGAGAGCGAGAGAGAGAGAGAGAGAGAGAGAGAACGGACATAGAATGACGGAGAGGCTGTCTCTGTCTTTGAGGAGAAAGTCGTGGCTCAGGCGTGTGAATGCCTTGCGCCTTTGTATGTATACAATTATTAAGTCAAGGCTTCCTCCAGTAACTGCAACTTTGTAATATCAGCAACAGTAGCAGTAGCAGTAGTAGCAGGAGCAGCAGCGGCAGCAGCAGCAGCAGTGGTAGTAGTAGTAGTAGTAGCAGCAGCAGCAGCAGCCGCCGCCGGAGTATAGCAGCAGCAGCAGTAATAGCAGCAGCATCAGCAGCACCACCAGTAGCAGCACTGCAGCAGTAGCAGCAGTAGCGGCGGTAGCAGTAGCAGCAGTGGTAGTAGTAGTAGTAGCAGCAGCAGCAGCAGCAGCAGCAGCAGCAGCAGCCGCCGCCGGAGTTTAGCAGCAGCAGCAGCAGCAGTAATAGCAGCAGCAGCATCAGCAGCAGCACCACCACCAGCAGCAGTAGTAGTAGCAGCACTGCAGCAGTAGCAGCAGTAGCGGCGGCAGCAGTAGCAGCAGCAGCAGTAGTAACAAACACCAGTACTAGATAGCAGTGACATCAACAGTGCAGCACGTCCCCCTCCCCCCTCTCCCTCGTCCATCGCTCCCGCGGCATCGGTCGGCCGCTATCAACAATAAAGCAAGACGACTGTTGCAGACGACATCTGATGGTCGCAGCAACTTCCGCAATAAGCAGACGTGCGTGCGTGCGTGTGCGTGCGTGCTCTGTGCTGCAGCCGCTGGGTGTGTGCAGAGTGGCGGCGGCAGCGGCGGCGACAGATGCTATATGCGGTCTTTGCTCTATGTGTGTGTGTGTGCGCGCTTCTACTTTGACTTTGCTTTGATGAAAATAGCTATTAATGTGCGTCTGCGTGCGTGCGTGCGCGACTGGGTGCGTGCACGCGCGCATGCGTAATTTGGTAATTTGCATAACAAATATGGTAATTTGTTGTGTAATTTGTGTCGGTCTTTTCCGCTTTTGCTCACAGTCTCTCTCAATGCTTCTGTCATCTCTCTCTCTGTGTGTGTCTCTCTCTCTCTCTCTCTCTCAGACTCTCACTCTCACTTTCTCTCTCTTCCCGGTGCGCGCTCTCTCTCTCTCTCTCTATCTCTCTCTCTCTCTCTCGCTCTCTCGATTCATCCATCCCTCCCCTCTGTTCTATTTTCCGTTTTATTCTCCCCTTCTCACTCCCCTCCCCTCTCTCTTTCTCTCCACTGAGTCCATTTCTCTTATTGCTCTTTCTCCTTTTCTCTCTCTCTCTCTTTCTCTCTCTCTCTCCTCGCTTCCTCTTTCTCTCCCCGCTTCCACATTTATCAATGTGGGTGTTGCGATCGTTCTCGCTATCTATTTGAATTTCTCTCACTATCCGCACCCAGCCTTGCCCTTGCTCTCCGCTTGTCTCTCTGTGTTTCTCACGTTATTAACCCCTGCTGTCAACGCGTAATGGTAATGGTTGTGGGGTCGGACACACACTGCGCATATATACAGCGTTATTGATATATCTGCCAAACGCAGCCAGTCCCGTCTCAGCCATTGTCTGATCAGCTGTTGTCTACTCCATTCTCTGCTCTCTCTCTTATCTCCGCTCTCTCTCTTTCTCGCTCTCTCTCTTTCTCGCTCTCTCTCTCTCTTCTCTCGTCTCTCTCTCTCTTCTCTCTTCTCTCTCCTTGTGCGCGCTCTCTCTTCTCTCTCTCTCTCTCTCTCTCCCTCTTCTTCTCTCTCTCTCTCTCTCTCCCTCTCTCCCTCTTCTCTCTCTCTCTTTCGCTCCCCCTCTTCTCTCTCTCTCTCTCTCTCTCGTGCTCTGCCGTTCGACAACTTTCTTTGTCATTCATGTCATTTGCCTTCCTGCAGCGGCAATATCTCTAAATGTTACGAATCGCCTGCGGCAGATACTGCTGCTGTTACTACTGCTGCACTGCTCCTATCTGCTGCTGTTGCTGCTTGCTGCCCCTGCTCAGCTACTTGCTGCTGCTGCTGCTCCTACTGCCGCTGCCGGTTGGTGGTGGTGCTCGCGTGCTGCGCTGCTGCTGCCTACTGCGTGCACGATTGCCGCCAATTATCATGTCATGGAAATTACATTTCGTTTGCGAAATATACGGTTGGAAGCCGAAGCAATAGCGGGGAATTCAGTCGAATATTGCAATCTCTCTCCATCGCTATCTGTATCGCTCTCGCCCGAGTGCTCGCTCTCTCTCTCTCTCCCTTACCCCAACCCCTGTTTCCCCCTCCCTTACCCCACCCCTGTTTCCCCTCTTCTTAACCAACCCCTCTTTCTTCCTCCCTTACCCCAACCCCTCTTTCTTCCTCCCTTAGCCCAACCCCTCTTACTCCTTCCCTTACCCCAACCCCTCTTTCTCCTTCCCTTACCCCAACCCCTCTTTCGCTCTGCCTTCCTCTCTCTCTGTCTCGTTCTCTCTCTCTCTCTCTCTCTCTCTCGCTCGCTCTCTCTGTTTGTCTCTCTCGCCTCTTGTTTTCTCCAATTTTTGCCCTCTCTTTCGCAGTGTCTTTCTCCCCTTCTCTCTGTCTGTGGTTATCTCGTTCTCCCTCTTCCTCTCCCCCTCTCTTCCTTCTCTCTCTCTCTCTCTCTCTCTCTCTCTCTCGCTGCTCTATCTCTCTCTCCCCCCGCCTCTTTTCTCTCTTCTCTCTCTCCTTTACCTTAGCGCGTTCCATCTATCTCTCCACCTTCCCCTCTCTTCCTCTTGCTTTCTAGCTCTTCCTCCCCTCTCTCTCTCATCATTTCTCTCTCTCTCTCTCTCTCTCGCTCTCTCTCTCTCTCTCTCTATCTCTCCCACGTCCCACTATCCATCTCCCCCTCTCTTCCCCCTCCTCTTGCTCACGCATGATAAAGGCAGCGGTTACGCGCTCCAGTAGGCGTGCGCGTATTACGTTATTAAGCAGGCATTGAACCGCGCGTTAAGCTTCTTTCTTTCCGCCGGCTTCCTCCGGGCTTCTCTCTTCCCGTCGGCTTCCTCCGGGCTGCTTGCACCTGCTCACCGCATCCCCGCCCTCCTCTCTCTGCCTCCTCCTCATCCTGCTCCTCCTCCTTCTCATTCGCCTCCTCTCTCCGCATTAGCCATATGGCTCCTCTCTTCCTGCCGGCTTCCTTCAGGCTGCTTCACCGCATCCCTTCTCGTCCCCCTACCCTTCCTCCCCTCTCTCTCTCTCTACCTCCTCCTCCATATCATCCCTCCTCCTCCTCCTCCTCCTCCTCCGCCTCTCTGCCTCCTCATGTGGAGGTTAATTAGCACTAGGGGTGCACCGGATCTAACTTTTCAAGTTCCGGCCAGAACTTGAAAAAAGTTCCGGCCGGAACTACCTGGCCGGAACCGGAACTTAAAGGGACAGTAGCCGCTAGGATTTTACTGCATACAACTGTACTTACTGTATAACATATTGTCTATACCCACACGTATTTGTTACCAGATACCTAATTTAATTGTTATAATTAATTACACATCAACGCTATGAAATTTGAACAGCGCCACGACACCCGCGACCGTGCTGCCACCCCAAAAAAGTTGCGTATTTGACAATTTATTTTGCACGTTACAGACCGAGGGCTAATCACAAAAGTGCAATTATATTTATACCTAAATGCTATTTAACCGAACGATATTCATTTTAGGGCAAATTTATCCATATATTATAACTGAAACTATATGTCGTTTATAAGATATTACAATCTTTTTGCTTTTAAATGAATAAATAAGAAACACCCTCGGTCTGTAGCCCTTGGCCGGAAAGTGGTTTTGCGCAACTTAATATCAGATTGTGCGCTTTGAGTGGCGCCACCGTCGTTGTAATCAAACTGTAGTCGTTAGTTTTAAAACATTTTTTAATAATATTTCTAATGGTGATTGAACCATGAAACTTTTTATGTAGCGTAATTTTAACCTAAATTAACTGAAAATAACCCTAGAACCTAGAGTAAACGATCCCTTTAAGCTGGGAATATCCCTGACAGTTTTAATTGGCCTAGAATTGCGCAAATTCACTCGGCCTGAACGAAATATTATTAGCAGGCACACCACTCAGGCGAGTAGGACAATGCTCATTGTTCTACATGTTCTCATTATGTCTCATGTTCTCATGTTCTCGTGTATCATGTTCTCATTATATACATGTTCTCATTGTCTACAATCAATGAGAACAATGTAGAATGTGAACATGTAGAGTACATGTTCACATTCTACATTGTTCTCATTGTTCTCAATTCTACAAAGTTCTAATTACAGGATGGTTGTTAGGAATCATCTGCTTACACTTACAGTGCATAATTCTGGCATCTTATTCGCGAGCGAATTGTGTGGCAAAACCTGCATGTTGCAGTATCCCTGGTTTTAGTTGATTATTTTCAACTAACAAACAGATGCCATTCCTGTGGCTCTAAGAGTATTTTATTTTAAAAGAAAATCTCGTGAATCACCTAACATCAGTTAGGTTTAGTTCAGTTAGTCGATGTTCAAGTGGCAAACGTTTTCTGGGCAGAATAGTGTGAAGTTGTTAACACTATATAGTATATTGTCAGCAAGTTGACTCTATTGACGCTTAACTACATTCAGTGACTGATCTTTTGATCTTGATGACGCTTGTAGCAGATATGAAATTAGGAAAAAGTTCCAGTTCCGGTCGACTGTTCCTGAAGGGTTCCGGCCGGAACTGGAAATTTGAAAAATGGGGATCCGGGGGGGTTAGTTCCGGTGCACCCCTAATTAGGACAGATTCATTAATTCGTGATCAGTCGTTGAAATTCGTTCGGTCATCAGTGTACTGTTCACTTGCAGCAATTTTTTTATTCTCTTTCTGTCTCTCGCGCGCTATTTCTTCCTCTTTTCTGCCTCTTTTCTCCTCTCTCTCTCTCTCTCTCTCTCTCTCTCTCTCTCTCTCTCTCTCTCTCTCTCTCTCTCTCTCTCTCTC